ATCTATATATTCGTCGTCACTTCTCGCCGGTCTTATATATAGCGCTAAGGTTTAAAAACAAACAGAAAGAGTTAAATTCGAAAGTTAAAACATGTTCGAAACATTTTGTAACAACGGATAACGGCTTAATTGTCAAATTATAAGCTATGTTTAAAAATGTTTTTTCTGTTGTTTTTTAGTTATGGAAACATGTGACCTTGTGTCATTCGTTGATATTGTTACGACAGCGGAATTCACGTGACGCTGGTAACACGTAATGAGTATCTAGAACGTTCGTGAAGGCTCGAGTGTTCTCCAGACGCCCTCTATTTCGAATACGTAAGTCAATGCTTTATATTACAACTTGGAAAAAATTCAAAAACCATATTACAAATAACACAAATATTAAATAGGTAAAGCAGGCTGTTTTATATTTCTAAGTATAGTTACTGTTAGTTTGAACATTCTTTTCAATGAGGGCCCATTCCTCAGCCTCTATATATAACTTATCTAATACGTTACATTAGGGCCAAGAAGACAAGCATTCATCCACTATTCATGTACGTGACGTGTATTCTGGTCGCAGTTTAACGAACCAGTCACCTGTGTACAGAAAGTTAATCATTGCATTTTGGATGAACGACTTACATTAGTTAATACAGTGAAACGTCTTCACAGACGCTAGTCATGGCGCCGAGGGCAAAATGTTTAGCACCCATATAGTTGGTTTACGAGAATTTCTCAGCAATTCTACAATACAAAGCCGTCACACTGATTGTTATTGGCAGACTACACAACAAAACAAATGACCCCGTTGTCGGCGAATGTGCTGAAACTGGCGATGAAATGACCTTCATTTAGGCCTACAGTCATTTGAAATCGCAATAAGTTAATTAAGATGAATGTTAGTAGAAAAACAACAACAACAAGAAAAAAACCCACATCTGTCTTGAAAGTTAAATTAATTAATAAGATTAAAAATATTTATACTTCAACAGGGCGTGTTTGTTGCTAATATATTATTTCTTAGTGGTAGATTCTACCTGGACGAGAGAAAAACTCCTGCAAGACTAGCTAGCTTATGAAGAGATTTATGAAGAGGAATTTGAAATATCTAAAGGCCACTTGACAAAACTTAAATTTTGTTGACTTTGTTAACGTGATTTTTACATAAGATATGAGATATATGTGTAGTAGAAACATTCTAATGTTAGCATTAACATTCCGTTTGTTTATTCCTGATTCACGTAATCACTACGTCACTTTGAGAATAAATTATACTTGATTCATTAAACTCCAATTGTTTTGAAGGCGGAACTTTGGTTTGAAGTTTTCACTAATTTTGTCTTTTGACTTTCAATTTTGTGATGATATGCGCTTCACATAAAAGTGAAGTAACGCTTAAAATGTCCAAGATTTGGTAATAATAGTAATGTTGTTAAAGAATCAATTTATCTAAACATTACTTCAGACACGAGAGTATGGATACACCGGTAGCCTTTTTGTATTGCAAAATTATCCATACGTTTTCCACATTATACGATTCTTTGATTTTTTTACAAGTGAATTACAAGTGAGTGTAAAATTGGCAGAAATGATACATGAAATGTACCTTTTATCAAAGTGTTTTTCTGCTTATGTGTAATCACGTGCTAAAGAATGACAATTTAGTTTTATCTAATTTTTTTGTTTTTCATACACAGAGTTCCTTCGTCTGCATTTTTACTGGAGATAAAATTTATTCTTATGTATTTTATCGCGAAATAGGTGAGACGTAGATTATGACAGCTTTTTAGCTTAATTGATACATCTAGCAGAGTCGAGAGAGCAGTAAAACAAATCGAATGGCTATACAGCTAGCTCTGAGAGAAAACGAAACTTAATACCGATACAGCTATCTCCGAGAGAGGACGAAACTTAACACCTATACAGTTAGATCTGAGAGAGAGGCCGAAGCTTAATGCCTATACAGCTATTTCTGAGAGAGGACGAAACTTAACACCTATTCAGCTACCTTTGAGAATGTTTGCTTGTTTGAAGTTAAGCACAAAGCTACACAATGGGCTATCTGTGCTCTGCCCACCACGGGTATCGAAACCCTGTTTCTAGCATTGTAAGTCCACAGACATACCACTGTGCCACTGGGGGGGCAGCTTTGAGAAAGGACGAAACGTAATGCCTAAACAGCTAGCTCTGAGAGAGGACGAAAATTAATAGTAATGCAACTAGCTCTAAGGGAGGACGAAACCTAATGCCTGTACAGCTAGCTATGAGAAAGGATGAAGCTTAATGTTTACTTGAAATTTCTGTAGTTGCTCTGAATAAGCATCTCTCATCCAGTTCGATCATCCATATAATAAATTTATTCACACTAAATGACATAATAGAACGTTCTGACGATCGTACATATATCTAAGGCATACGTTACATTCTTTGTATTATTTCTTGTTGTTTCTTAGACTTGAACAACGTCTAAAATAACTTTTTGAGTAACTTTTTCTATACTGTTGTGTTCCTCCTTTTTTGTTGTTGTTGTTGTTGTTCTCATGTCAGTTTTTATATGGTACTGTATATCCTAACAGGAAGAACGAAATACAACTGCTGTGATGTGCCCCTATGGCGTTTTTTGTATTTTGTAAGAGCTAGATTGGAGGGAGGGGATAGAAAAAATTAACACTTTCATATCAGTGATAATAATATTGTAAGGAAGATTTTAAAATCTTAAAAGACTAAATCCCGTTATCTTAGATGAGGGCTGTTTTCCTAATGAGGGGTCCGCCCCCAACGCCACTCTGATAGAGACGTTCCTGTATAGGATGCCCAAATCATTATACTGTTATAAAAAAAAATTAACTTAAATATCATTTATTTATATGTGTGTATTTCAATTTTAATCGTTAATGTTTGCTACAGTGATGCAGCAGCGATCGGTATTATGGAGTTATGTAAAATATTCAAATGAAACAAGATCTAAACTGATGGCTTTAAACGAAAAACTAGAAAGAGTCACAATGACATAATCAGTCACTTATGCGTGAAAAAAGAGAGACTGCTATTATCTAAGGAAGCAAACTCTAATTAGTCGTTTATGTCTAAAACTGCGCAAACATTTGTCATTATTTAACTGTTGCAATACACAAACAACTAGAAAAAGTCTCTGCTATTTCAGAACGTTATATTGTGT